CTTACCCGTCTTCATCGCATTCGTTGCTCTGATGAGCTCCTCAGCGGCAAAGGTAGGGGGGGGGGGGGGCATTTGTGCGTCCACGTCATCCATCACGTTTGTCCTAATCGGGTGCATCGGAAACAATCCGTCAACAATCCATCCTGCTGTTTCGGCATCTTTAAGTTCCGGTGAGACTCGGGCCCCTGGTTTTCCGGTCACAATCTTGTAGCCGGTTCTCCAGGGATCCTCGTTCACCTCCTCGCAGAGCTTCCTCTAGCATCGCGTCTTGCTGTCCCGTATTGCTTTCGTCAGCGTCTTCCGTGCTGTTTTGTATATGGCTTAGAGGTTTTCCCTTTCGGGTCCGCCCCCTGCCCTTGTCACTTGTCGCCGATTTGTCAAGCATATCCTGCGTAACTCGGCTATTTCGTTCGTCCACCAATATTGTGGTTATCTTTGTTGCATCTGTCGACGTTTCGGCATTGTGCCTCTGCACAAGCTGTCTATTAATTTGGCCGTCTCGTCTGTCAGTCTTTCCGCTCTTTACCGGCCCATCAGTTCCGCGGGAATTCTCTCCCCTGGAGCCGGTGCTGCCATTAGCTCTTCCGAAAATTTTCGTCCGTCGAGTTTCCGTAGATTCCACCGCGGCGGTTGATGGGTTCTCGTGCGTTTCGTTTCCGTCCGTCCCACCACTTCAAAGGCGATGTACTGGTGATCGCTGGCTGTGTAGTCTTCGATCACCCGCCATCCCCTCAGCCGTAGCAGAATTCTGTCCGATGTCATCGTGACGTCGGGGATAGAGTCACCGACACCTGGCCGTCTATACGTCGGCGTATGCCCCGTATTTACCACTGCTAGATCGAGCCTTGCGGCCATTTCCAGCAGTAGTCGTCCGCGTCGATTCGTTTCGATTATTCCCCACTCGGTCGCCCTCGCGTTAAAATTCCCCGCAATGATGACATCCCCGGGCAGGTCCCTGATCCCGTCTTCTACGAGTGCCATCTTTCTTTCGAACTCCATAGCGGTGCAGTTGGATGTCAGGTAGACGCTGAGATAAGTAATAGCGCCAACTATGACCCAGACGTAGTCGTCCCCGACACCGCGATTGGAGACTCTAGATTGGGTGCCACCTCGTACCCAGATAGCAATGGTCTCTGTCTCGTTTGTAATGTATGTCTGGGTTGTCCTTCTCCTGTATGGTTCTCTTGTAGGAGCATGTCTGCAGTCCTACTTCGATTCAGGTTTCGCTGAATTATTCTGTCCGTCCCCTGCACTCCTCCAGCGCGGCCCGGAACACAGCGCACCTGCCGCCTCCGGTGAGGTGGGCGACGTCTCTGTGCCCGGCCTCGGAGCACAGTGGGCAGACCGGCTTGTTTTGGCATTCCGTCGCGTAGTGTCCGGATGTGCCACACTTGCGGCAGCATTTCGTCCTGTCCTTACCTGTGCATTCAGCTTTCACATGGCCGAAGCCCAGGCATCTGTAACATTTTGTCACCGCCAGTCGTTTCCGAACGCGGCAATGCACTCAGCCAATTCTGATCCGACCACGCCGAGGCAATGCATCGGCTTCCTGCGATTCTAATTCGCAGACCGCCATATACTGCTCAGCGCGGTTTGGACCGAAAATGTGGACTCGAAAGTCCGTGTCTCGTCCCGTCTCTCGTCTAAGCGCGTCCGTCACGTCTTTTGGAGTCGCAACGCAGTCCAGGTCCATGATCTCCAATTGGACCTTGGAGGTCACGGCCCTGACACTGCCCGCTTCCCCGATCGTATTTTGGATCTGTCGTCCAAACATCTCACGTCCGTCCGGCTTGTCTGCGTCTACCTGTAGCTTCAGAAGACATAAGCCGTTCTTCGTCTTCCTCAGGGTTGTCATCTGCACGTGGCTCTCCTTCGGGTCGATCGTCGTCCGTATTTTCCGTACTATGTCAGAGTACGTCGCGTCCGTGCCCGGCCTGATCAGAACAGCCAGACCCCTTTTCCGGTGGGCCTGTCCCCCTCTGTCAGGCCGATTCTTTACGTCCGTTTTCTTTTTTGTCTTGTCTAATCGTTTTCATGTTATCGTCTGCCAGTCCTTGGTCGGTTCCGTCGTTGGTGGCCTCTTTTGTGAGGGCTCCAGCGTGGTTCCGGCCGGCGAACGTTTTCGTTTCATCCGTGGCGTTTCTTCGTAATTTGCCGCTGTCCTGTCTGTATTGTTGTTGTCTTGGGAACGTCTTTCCGAAACTGTGTCCGATCGCTTGTGCAGCGCGATGTCTACAGTCTCGAGAATTGTCTTAATTCCCGTCTTCACTACCATGTTCATGTTCTTTTGTATGTTTGATGCCTTGATCATCTTCATCGCCGTCTCTTGTATGAGCCGCAGCAGTTCCGTCACGTCTCGTGTATCGTTTGTTATTGTCGGTGTTCGTCCTGTCGTCGGTTCTTTCCTGTCAGTGGCAGAGACGTAGCTCACCCCGCTGCCGCCGCTTGACACACTGTCCGTATTATTATTATTATTATTATTATTATTATTATTATTATTATTATTATTATTATTAACCTCACCTTTGACCTGGTGGGATAGGAGGGGGGTTGACCGCCTTAAGGATGACTGATCTGATGTACTCATCGATTGAACCATTAGAGAATAACGAGGTGATATGTCTAGCAATTTGAATTGGGGTTATGACTGTTTGATTTAGCTCATCTTTTTTATCGGGTTCTGCGGGTTGTACGATTATTTTGTACGGGGAGGTATGTCATATGGGTATTCTTCAATTTTAGGTAATTCTATTCTTTGTGATTGTGGGAATTGAGTTTCTCCTAGTTTAAATTGGTAAGATCCTTGGTTAAATTGTGAATAATTTTCAGGATTATGATTCCTTTTGGGTAGTTTTTCAGGTAATGTTTTACTGTTTTCATTTAAAAGTCTTTTGTTTCTTGTTTGGTCTGATGGAGCTAACATTCTGACATTTGTTAGGTAGCTGTTGTTTAAATAGTTTTTTTCGTCGTTAATACTCATCTCAATATGGGGGGATGGGGGGCAGAGCCGGCCGCCACACGAGATGAGTTATTGCGTTTAGGTTCTTATCCAAGAAAATCAATTAAGAAAAAATAAAAAGTGGAAAAAGAAGGTGATCATGAGAAATAGATAAGGTGTTGAAGGATAGTTAAAGGATAAATATTGAAAAGATCCTACCAATAAAAACCAGTTTTAATTATTGTAATAATATTGAAAATGTAAGAAGGTGGAATCGCATGTGCGTTCGAGGCGCCCCCGAGTTGTACTCGCTTTTATATGGTTTGACCTGTTCCCGACGTCACAATGTACAGCAGTATAATACCAGGAATAATAGGTGATAGAGTACCTTTTGAAGAAGACAAATGGCAACTACTGATGAGTACGAAACATTTTTTTAAAGATCTAACGATACATGTAACAAATAAATACTTTGGCATACGTAATGTTCACTGACATTACGTATGCAGCCCTTTATACAAAATACTTAAATGACTTGCACAAGGAAAATCCAAAAGTTGACGTAGATGCTTTTTTAAATAAAGTAAACGGTAATATACGTTTCAAAATTCAAGATTTAAGAAAAGCATTACAAAGAGCTGAAGAAGAGAAGATGTACGGCATTGTACGCAACAAAGATCCAAAAAACCTTATAAGTACATCAAACATCACGAGGATATCTAGATATTTTCTTTGTATACTTGCGCTTTCCTTGCTATGCAAAATCGAGTAGCACTTAAACTTTTTAAAATTTTATTTGTTAACTTTGTATTAAGAGATTTTTATAAAATTTTATGTTCTGTAAAAGATTATCAAGTTCATTTAAAATATTTATTTATTAAAATTCAATCTAGAATGTTGCAATTTATTATATATTTAAGAAAAAATTTTTTTTTATAACTATATACTTAAAGCTATTTTTTATTTTAAACTAGAATTTGCTGTTAATTAACCAGATAAAGAAAAATTGAATACTGCTGTTTAAATTAATGAAGTGTTTGATAAATAGTTTTTCTCTTTAAATTATATAAATCTCTAAAATTTATAAGTTATTCTCATCAGGTTTTTTCATCATCTATATGTATTACTCTATTAAATAAGCTATTTACCGCGTTCATAGAATAATCTGAAAAAAATTTAATTTGTTTTTATTTACACAAGTGCTGATTAAAATATAAAAAGTGAAAATGAAATAAGAAAAATCAATCTATAGTTTTTTAAATTTATTAACAAATATTGAAGAAATATCTAAATTATTAAAATATTAATTATGTTTACGTAGCTATAACGCCAAATATCAATAGCGAAAAACAAATATCATAAGTAATTTCATAACGTATTATATAGTTCTATGATTAAAAAATGTTATGTTGTTTTGTGCGCACTTGTAATGTGAAGATAAAACTAACTAATAAAGAACTGTAACTATATCTAAAATATTGTAAACAGTAAATAAAAACCCTAATTTAACAAATTATTTATATCTCCACTTGAAAAAAAGCATTCCTTCTAAAAATCTTGCTACATTTTAAACTAATCCTCTGATACGTGCCAAAACACAACTACTGCAACAAGAACAAAAAAAAATTTTTTTATTTCATAGTAATTTTTTTTAGTTGATCAGTTCTAATACCAGTTCCCATGTAAGTTCTCATACCAGAACTCATTCTGTAAGATAATATCATAAATCGAAATCCGATTATCAGAACTTAAGCGAGGACTTACATAAGATCTCATGTGTACCAGCTTTCATACTAGTTCTCATGTCAGTTTTGATACCAGGACTTGTCTTCTAATTTTTAGGAGGGTAGCCTGTAGATGTGCAGATTACTATTCACTGTATCATTGTAATTATAGAATATAAATAATTTTGTCATAGTAGTAACTTTTAGAATTTATGTTCTATGTGAAATTATTTTTATATATGAGAATTTAATATGACATATTAAAACAATGATTTGGATGGAAATCCTTGATAATTCTGAAATTTTATAATAAAATTAGCTTTTTTTTGTTAAACAAAACATTTATTCTATGAAATTACAAAAATAATGAGGTATGAACATCCAATTTTGTGCTATAATTTCAAGGGTATATTAGGCCAATACCGAGGTTTTGATATATCTATATGTTTTTCAATTGTAGTTTGAAGAGCAGTTTCCATAGCCAAAATTCTTGATGTAGCTTGACCATATAAAAATTTCATATCTTCGTTATTTCTATGAATCATAAAAACAGCATTCGAACCAGTTTTTCTAACAAAACTATCTTTATCTTGACTTAAAGCTACTGTATTCTTTTTGGTTTTTAATTCAATTTTATGACGTACGCTTTGAGCCAAGAAGTTCATCACATCTTCATTTAGTTGAAATTCAAAAGTATCATCAGCATTTTTTTTATCTTTATTATCAGCAAGATTAATATTCATATTTTGACAATAATTTTGTGAATTATGTGCATGTTTATTGCTTATATTTTTTTGAGACTCTTGATTATTTATTAATTTTGTTATGGTTTCTTTAAGTAAATGATTTTCATGTTCTAAAGCAAAACATTGAGTCTTCCACCATGTTAAATTGTGCCTAAGATAGAATTTCATAATGGAAATAAATAATTAAAAATACTTTAAAAACTATATTTTCAAATTTTAGCAACATAACATACCTCTTTTGCCATTCATGTGCAGCTTCATAATTTTTCCAAAAAGAATTTGCTTCCATTGCAATGGCATTTTTTTTTTTCATAATAAACTTACTGCTATTGATTTCAATTGCTGACTTTTTACGTTTGAAAGACTTAACCTTATTTTTTATTTGATCACGATGTTTTTTAGCAAAATTATGTCGCCGTCTTCTTCGTTTCTTTTCTCGTTTGAATTCAACAAATTCCATAACTATTAGGACAAATTTTACTGCACTGTTGAAAAATAGGTGTTATGCTAATAGTAATTTGTTCTTGCAATGATATTTTCATGATTGATGGAATTGTTCGAATAAAAATAAAGCAACATTAGGCTATAAAGATGACTGTAAATACAAAAAGACAAGATAAAATAAGATAATTTTTATATACTTAGCATAGGTACGACATACAGCTCTTATGTCAGTATATATATATATAGTTAGGTAGGTAATTATTTACTTTATTTATATATATATACAACAATTCAGCAACTTTAGCAGTAACACACATGACTCATATGCTATAGATGAGGACACTATCCTGAGCACTTAGCTCTAAAAACATATATCGATATTATTATCTAGTATGTCTTCTACTTTACCAACCTATTGCGCGAGTTTGTTGCAGTCCGTATTCCTCATTCGTAGCGACAAAACACAATGAAACAAAAACATTACCTATGGACCTATGTAGTGAAATCATGAATCGGGAAGTATGTTTTTATATTATCTATTGTCAATATCACTGTTTTGAAATTTTCGAACTCACGTCATTTGATTTTATTGAAAAATGTATTAAGATGTAAGCAGGAATGAAATATTAATCATCTTTAATATGTTTGAGTCAACGGAACAAGGAAAAGTAAGTGTAGACGTTAGGAAACTAATTCATACTGTTGCAGTGATTTACTAAATCTCACAAAGTGAATTATAAAATATTCTACTTTTTATAAATAACGTGTATTTATAAATATTTTTACAAGGCTAAAATTTTATTCAGTCATATTCTTCCAAAATTAAAACATATTTGTTAGTAACTTATTTATTTTAGTGTTTTATCATGATTTATTTTATGTGATTGATGGTTATACACTTAAGTTTACTATATAATGATCAAGTCTTAAATAAATTAATTTTAATAAATATTATAGGATCTTTGCAGTCATACTGGAGTTGTATTGCAAAGTGCAAGTACTCGAGAAGATGAAGTGCACAGTACAGGAACACTGAATATTGTGGAATATGTAAATATTTTTATTTTGAAAGATAATTCTAAAATGGTATTAGAATAAAATCTGAAATAATAATTATTTTAGAGTTTTGGGAAATGTATAGAATGGAAACCACTTGAAGTATCAGTAGTATCTGAAAATCAAGATCAGGATCCGGAATGGTCACTTGTTGATTCGCATACAAGTAGAACAAGATCATTATCAGAAGAGCCAGATTGTTTAGGACGCAGAATTGTTAGAATATTGTTTAAAGAATTGAAATCTATACGTGTACATCAAAGTGGTCAACAGCTGATATTTATGCTTAGAGATGGCTCCAGTTATGTAGCTTTCTTCCAGTTACCAAATGCTGATAGTTTTCTTAATTCTCTGAACAGCTTTATCAATTGGATTAAATCCAAGCAAGATAAATATTTGTACCTAATTCTTAATGAGGTCAGCTCAAATTTGAATAAATCATTTGCTGAGTTAGATATTTTTCCAGAAAACACATCTGAATATAATGTATGGAACTTTGTGCAAAAGTTACATGATCATCCTTATGAAACAACTATGGAAGCTTTCAGTAAATTGACTGATGTATGGCGTAAGTATTATTAACCAATATAAAATATCGTTATATTTTGTATAATTATCATGATAACATTAAATTAATGTTATATATTTTGTAGTATATAAAGAGCCAGTTAAACCTCCTGTAGAAGAAGCAGTAGCTGATTTATTAAATCGTTCACTCACAGTAAATGTTCATCAACCACCAGTGTCAGTAGGTTCTGGAGAAGAGTATGAAATCATTGGAGAATCTGGATTAGGAATTTTATTACCACAAAAACCTTCTTGTCCTAGAGGTAATTAATTATTATCTTTATATTCGTAACAATAAAATTCATAAATAGTTATGTTTTTAATCAAATTTTTAAGGGCTGCCTTTGACACAAGAACAATGGGACGAATGGAAAGATTCAGAAGGTAGAGTGAAAAATCCAGAAACTGTGCAAGAAATGATTTTCAGAGGAGTAAGTTTGTCTATTTTTAGTACAAAAATCATTTTTAATATTTCAAATGGTTTAAATTATTATATTATAGGGTATCGCTCCTTCATTACGTTATGAAGTATGGAAATTTTTGTTAAATTATTATCCGTGGAATGCAACATCTGCTGAAAGAATGGAATTAAAGAAAAAGAAAACTGATGAATATTTTACAATGAAATCGCAGTGGAAGTATATGACCATAGATCAGGAAAACCGGTTTTCAGATTATCGAGATAGGAAAAATTTAATAGGTATTATGTTATGATAAAATTCAAAATATAACACAAGTGTAATATTTTTTTAGAAAAGATGATTGTTCTTAATGATCTTGTATCTGAAATGAAATTCAAATTCCAGAAAAAGATGTTAATAGAACAGACAGAACACATCCTTATTATTCTGGTGATAAAAATCCTCATTTAATACAACTACATGATATTTTGATGACCTATGTAATGTACAATTTTGACTTGGGATATGTACAAGGTATGAGTGACTTGCTCAGTCCAATACTTTGCCTCATGGACAATGAAGTTGATGCTTTCTGGTGTTTCGTTGGATTTATGGAGAAAGTTGTAAGTTACTATATAATGATTTGCAAGAAATTTGATATTCATTTTGTAACGTTTGATTCTATCTTACGTTACTAAAGTAAATAGTTCGGACTCTAATTGTTTTATTTGTAATCGCGTTTCCGAGAGTAAGCAAGAAGTTGACACGTGAATGCTCTATAAGTATTGATATTTCAATAGTCACTGAATAGCGAACACAGTATTCGTTATTTCGATGAGCCGTTGAAAATACAATTGAGTATTGTTGCATCTATCGAGGAGAAGCCCAACAGCGCCGCAACAAATATTCAATTTAATTTCTAGGAAATTATTTATTTCAGAGAGGAGATAGTCTAAGGCTACTTTTTTTTCATAAGAGAGAGAGTCTTATGAGTTGAGCGCTTAAATTATCGTAAGGAAAAGGAATTAGCAGGCTAACCATTGAATAATGAAATCAGTCTCAGGAAATAGCTGAGTCTGTATTTCGTTCAATGCTCGCGCTGTTAAACAAGGTAGGACAGTGAATCCTCTTGCCGCAGCGATGAGCAATACTTGAGAAATTGACTCCTTTCTACGCTTGGTAGCCCCACGCTATTTTTGATATTAGCATAAACTTTGTACAGGTTTTGTCACAAAATGACTTGATCGAAATTGAAAATTAGTGATTTAAAAAATCAAGTATAGAATAACAAATTTTTTAGTATAAGTCGTTTCTCAAGGAAAAATCGCCTTTTAAAATTATAAGTGGTGTGACGTCGGGGTCACTTTCAGGTACGTCTGAGGAAGACGTGTTTCTCAGGTTGCTCTGATTTGGCTTGCGCACAGCGCATAAGCCGGGACGAGCAATATTGTTACGAGAGAAAAACTCCTGTCAGGACTGTGATAACAAAGTGTTATCACGAACACATCAGACACTCGCTTAATGTGTTCTTTAAAAGGGTAGAGAAGTTCGCCAGACGCTCGCTTAATTAACTTCTTAAAAGGGGGAAGAGGTTCACCAGACACTTGCTTAATGAAACTCTGACTATTGGAAACGGACAGAAAAGAAAGTGAGAGACAGAAACTAAAAATTTTAACTTACTTTTCTTTTATTTTTCCTTCTTGTTTCTTTATTTCAGGGTTGAGTACCACACACACACTGTAAGATTCGTCCGGTTGTCCCTTGTTGATCCGTTGTCGGGTATTTGGCTTCTGGAGTTATTGGCTTGCTGACTTCTACTACTGTTGTCCTCGGATAACTGGGGTGGAACTCCTCTAATTTTCACGGGGGACTCCTTTTATGTCCTTTCGCACCAGCATCCCACTCTTAAATTTTGATCCTTTTAGGCAGGAGGAACTTAAAATTTTCCTTGCTTAATTGGCTGGAAAATTTAGGGAGTGTCCCAAGCGTGGGTGAAATTTGGGCCCTAATTGGTCGTGGGCGGAGCGTCCGGGAGTGGCCTCATTTAAGCGCTTTGGGCCCTCTTCACATAGATGGCCCTCTATGTACTATTTTGACCTTTAATTATTTATCTAATTCTATTGAAATTCAATTGTGTGTGTGGTACTCTAATTTTACAAAAATATTTCTTAATCTATAATAAAACTAAAGGACAGAACAAAAGTTAAGAATTACATTTATCTAAAAACAATCAGGATATTAATAGTTTTAACTATTAATTAATTATTAAAAAGCTTTGAGAAATGCTGAAAAAATCAGAGTTAATTACAATAAATATAATTAATAACTTTCGTTCAAGCCATTCTTAAATTGTCTAACGCAAAGTTGAGCGCATCCAACAATTATACATACAAAACTCGCAAAGAAAATAAACCAATACGGGAAGATAATGAATTATTCCCATATTTATATTTAGGTATGAAATTAAAACTTATCCGAGCAAAAAAACATTAATATAAATAGTCCTTATTGATTACTCGAATGTTACTTACAATAGATAAATTTCGCAATTTTTTAAGAGACTTGCAAGCAAATGCGCTTCCTTTAATTTAAAAGAAATTAGTAATAATGAGAATAAATTATTTAAAATAAAATAATAGTACTGTTGGCAGGATGCACATGTGCGCTGCAGGTCTCTACTTTCTAAAGATGCGCGCAATCTGGCTACTCCGGATGACGCGATCGTAAAATCGCTCTGATTGTCTCCAGCATCCGAAAATTGCCAGATGCGCGAGCCGAAAACTGCCGGTCACAGGAAAAATTGTCTTTATTCAGCTGTACGCAGTTTTTCATCTTAATTTACGAGCTAAGTGTGTGGTCGGTATTTTTTTGTCTTATTCTTTTTTTTTTTTGAGCCGCCGTTACAGTGGTATAAGTTAGATATGTAAATAACACAAAATTTACAATAAATTTACGGAAAATTTTTACATAAAAAAATCGCTTGTGATAAATGGAACATTATTCAAAATAAAAACGATACACTTAACAATCCATTTTTGAATAATAATTAAAAAATGAATTTGTAAATTCCTCTTTTAGCCATTATAAAATCAACAAATGGGTAACAATCGTAATCATTAATTTTATAGATATATACAGTATATATATGCAACGTAATTTTAATTGTTTGAATAAATTATAAATTTTTTATTTATTGATAACTCAGTCAAAAATCAGTCATCAAAGTGTCAAATTCTTGCTTCTCTGTCTTAATACGCTACGATCGCTCTTGTATATTCGAATTTGCAATATATTTATTTGTTGCAAAATTACTAACGATATTTACTTGTAAATTAAATTAAACTAATAAATACATATTTAATGACTATAATAACTTGAGATTCGAGATCAGCGCATAAAAATTGACTGAAAATGCTTTTGTTCATTAGAAAAAACTTTGCAATTGTCGATTTTGCATTGCCAAATTGCCCTAACACATTTACATGTATATGAGAAGAGCGCCTTCGTTCAAGTACCGCTTTTCTTCAGTTTTCTTGTGTACGACGGGTTGCTATTTTGCAGTGGGACAAAAGGCAAATCAGACTGTACCGTTACAATTTATTTACGTTTCACTTCAATTCATTCGCTATACGTTGCAAGTGGGTGCTTGTGAAATGGATTAAGATCTTTCGTTATTAATCGAATTTTGAAAAGATAATTTATAGTAATTGATAATGTTGTAAACTTAATCTTCAATGATTGATCATGAAAATGTTATATAAATATAAGGTACGTATACGGTTTGTGTGATAGTGAAAGCAGTTAATACGAGGGTGGTCCGATAAGTACTTAGCCTCACCGCCCGATGGCGCCACTCTCGCAAAAGAAATATTCTATCACGTAGTACAACCTTCTCGATGGTTACTGTCAAGATTTCAGCCGGATCGGAGTTGTAGTTTATTTTTGAGAGCGTATAAAAGCAAGTGTGTCCGTTGATTTTTGAAAAATGGAAAAAGAGCAGTATCGGTCGATGATTCTTTAGCGGATGCGAGGGAGGATGAGTAACGGACAGCACACTTGTTGGTGAAATAAAGATGTTATTTATTAGTTAGGCACAACAGGTAAGACAGAGACCCGGTTAATAACTGGTGAGACGCAGCGACGCGAGGAGCAGGTTCGATTGCGCTGCGGCTATTTTACGAACTGATACGGTTGAGAGCCAACTTCGCGGCTGTAGGTGTTGCTTCCTGCAGTGTTGCCGCGTGGCGTCGGGAGATGGCGACGTTGTAGTCCCCACGGGTACTCCCTCCTCAGATACCTTCGTGGGAATCGAAGGGAACGAGACCCTTTTGCGTAGGATCGAGAGCATCTTTCTGGCTCGGTTTTTGCTTGTCTGGCCGAGTTGTCGGTTGCTGGATTTGTTGAGAAACCGGTTGCTGTGCAGGTGGAGAAACTGGTTCTTGCTGTGATAGCGGAGCTGGTTGTTGTGAAGGTGGAGGAACTGGTTCTTGCTGTAATGGTGGAACTAGTTGCTGGGAAGGCTGTGCTTTATTTGCTGTTGTTGGCTCCGAGACCGTGATCGCTGGTTGTTGGCTGGAGCTTTCGTCCGTGTCGAGGAAAGCTGATTTTAGGCCATCCGAGGAAACCGTCTTCTCCACGCCATTCACCAAGATAACGAACACCTTGTCGTCGAGGCGACGGCAGACTTTGTAGGGGCCCGTGTAAGGCGGTTGTAGCGGTTTGCGTACGCTGTTAACACGCAGGAAGACGTGCGTGCAGGTCTCCAGTGCTTTATGCGTGAAAGCACGGTATTTGGAATGTTGCGAGGCTGGCACTGCTCGAATAGTCCTCATCAGGCTCCGGAGGTTGTTGACGAAAACGTGCGACTCTGCTGGGAGACTGCTCGACACGAAAAATTCTCCTGGAAGCCGTAGCGTGGTCCCGAAAAGCATTTCAGCTGGTGAAGCCTGCAAGTCCTCCTTGTAGCAGTTTCTCAAGCCTAGAAGATAGGGATCCGGCCATGGTACGTGCGATTCGCACATCAGCGCTGTCTTGAGAGTGCGGTGCACTCGCTCGATTAAGCCGTTGGCTTGTGGGTAGTAGGGAGTGGTGTGGATGCGCTGCGATCCCATCATGCGGGCAAGTGCGGCGAACAGGGCTGACTCAAACTGAGTGCCCTGATCGGTTGTGATGGTCAGCGGGCAGCCGTAGTGAGAGATCCTGTCTTGTACGAAAGCAGCAGTCACCGTCTCAGCTGTGATGTTCGCCAGGGGGATGACTACTGGCCACCTCGAGAATCTATCGATCATGGTGAGACAGTAGCGAAGCTCGCCCACCTGAGGCAGTATGATAATGTTCATGTGGACGTGCTCAAAGCGGTTGTCCGGGACATCGAAGGATTTGAGAGCAGCTCAGTTGTGTCTGCTGACCTTGGCTCGTTGGCAGCCATCGCAAGCGTGTGCCCAGTTGTTTGCGTCCTTCTTGATGCCAGGCCAAGTGAACTTCTCGGCAAGCATTTTCACCATTGCCCGAGCACTTGGGTGGGCAGGTGAGTGCAGAGCGTCGAAAGCGCGACGTCGTAGAGGCTTGGGCAGATACGGCTTGACGATGTCGTCTGCAAAGCTGCACGCTATGCTAGCACCGT